TGGGTCAAATGCTGGAAAATGGAACTAGATTAATTTAGGATATCTGGTCGGCATGGACGAGTTGGACCGAAGGGCCTGTTTCAACGCTGTACATCTCTATGATTATATAGTTAACTTTTATTAGAAAAAAATCATTCACTATAAAATGGCAAAACCTGAAGACCCCTCAACTTACCCTTTATCTTTCAGGGTTCTCCTGAAAATAGCTCTAATTTGTCATCATAACCACTTGCTCATGCTAAGATCCTAGTGCACCTGCACAGCATATTTTCGATGGTTTTATGTCTTCCCTATAATTAAGTGTCTAAAATAGAACATAATACTCCAACTGCATTTTAACTAAGGGATTGTTCAACATATTGTTTTTATTTGTTACAAATTCATCAATGTATTGATAGGAACTTCTAATTCATGGGCAAATTACAGAGGTTTTGCCTTCGCAGCATAAAGACCCAGATTTTGTGGTAAGAACAGTGGTGAAGTGGTCATTGCTTATATTTATTGCTGAATAATTCAAACAGCAACTTCTGGCATTTGCACGTGCGCAGGTAATTTTGGAAATTGGGAAGTTGCTGTTAGGTTTGTTTAGCCCTTCTGTATGCTAAACTGCACCACACCATTTCCAATGGAGTTGGATGGGAAATCCATGGAATGGTGTGTAATTGTAATATTTTCCACTTCACACATGAGCATTTTGTGAATTTTTCAACAGTATGAACAATCCTAATTACTGCCAAACAATATCTCTGCCCCTTGTGGTGTACACTGTGTGACTTATATATAAATATAACTTAGTTTTGAGTTTGGACTTTTGATTTTGAACTTGTGGCATATGGGCTTTCTGTGTGCCTGAAGGAGCTTAACGATTAACTTGTATTCCTGTAGTCATGGTGATTTATTTTAAAACACATGTGAGAGAAAGACTTCCTGGAGAGTAATGGGTTCTTGTTTACATTGAGAAATTTTTAAGCAAACAAGGTAAGCTGCTGTGTTCCAGTTTAGAAGGTCAAGGATTTTTTTCGATTAAGGAAAAACCCTAGCTTGGGCAAAAAGGCTCTTTTTTAATTATCAGTTTGGACAGTTCTGCAGGGTTCCTAGCTGATGCTGGATGTGTAAAATGGTGGCTGCTGAGAAAGGTAGAAGATGGTTTAGAATTATTAACAATAGGTTTCTTTAGTGCAAGGAACAGGAGTGCTTGGTTAAAATCCTAGCGGGGGAGTTAATTGAAGCTTAAAAAGTTTACCCTCAGTGATATGAAGGCTCCAGGAAGAGTCTACAAAATTTTTAATTCTGGAAGTTGACGCCACAGTAAAATCAAGCTCAATAGGTGTAATAAAGAACAAAATTTTCTCTGATGTGAGTAAAGATAAACTTTTAGGATTAATGGGACAATTTTATTTTACTGCATTTTTTGAATTCTTTTAACATGTGTTATACGTAAATAATTTGATTTCTTCAATATTTTCCATTTCTTTTGCACAAGTAACTTCTTTTTTATTGTTAATCCCAAATCTGCAACATTATGTGCCAATCCATTTTTGAAGTATCCTACTCTTCTACAGGTTCTTTTAATTAGTACCTTGTTAATAGATTAGTCATTAGAACACCTTTAAGGAAATGAATTTGAAATTTTCACTGACTAGTCACCCCCAATACACACCAGAAAAGTAAATGCTATTTTAACGAAATAAGGATCAATTGTCTGGTAGCACAGAACTTCAGCATAGCTAAAAAAAAAGATGCTTTTTATTAAACCCTTTCATTTTTCAATTTTTAGTTCAATTCACGAGAATAACAATTTAAAAGGGAACATGCTTATACTATGTGAGAGAAGAGCTTTGATTGGTTCACAGTGGACTGTAATTCGCAGAGATATTACCATAGAAAATTATCAAGTGAAGTGACGACCGACAGTTACCTGGCATGTTTTGTTAATTTTCAACCAAGCAAAGTTGACTTTGCTTGGTCAAGGCACTGGCCTGAGGAATTAACGAGGTAATAGCTGCCACTATTCTGTTCAATTGAAACAGGTGCAGTGTGGTGTGTGTTTTTTTCTGTCTGCAAATAATATTTTGTGTACTAACTATATATTGCTACCAGTACACACAATTGCATTGCACTGTGAGCCTGACTGCCTATTATAAATTGGCTTTCAGCATAATTCTTAACACATTCAGGATTATTTAGCAAAATTGTCCAATCACAGAATCACATGTCATGTTGGACACTATGTTGTGCGTTTCAGGCATATACTAGTTGGGCACAGTCAGTACATTGCAAACAGCCAAATGGACATGCTGTGTGATACAAAATGCTAGCCTTTAGGAAAAATGGTATACCTACCTGCCTTCAAACTAGTAAAGTCACCATAGTCCTGCTGTCTCATTAGGGAGAGAGATGACTGATGTTGAGAAGATGGGATCCTCATGGTGACCTCAGCCTCAGGGACTGAATCCGTGCTGTCAGCATCAATCTGCCTCCCAAATCAGCCTTCCAGCCAACTGAGATAACTGACCCCCAAAACTAGGGCTGAGATTCAAATAACACACCAATCATGTGTGTGATTCATAGAACATCATTTTGGCTAGATTGCAGAATCCTGTTAGAGGTGAACACCACTTGGTTAGCTCAGTTTGACGGATGGTTTGCAATGCAGAGTGACACTAACGGTGTGGGTTCACTTTTCATACTGGCTGAGGTTACCATGAAGTTTTTTCTTTATCAACCTTGTCCCTCACTTGAGGTATGGTGACCCTCAGCCTAAACTCACCACCCCTTATCTCTTTCTAATCAGAGAGCAGTCCTTTGGTCTGATAGGACTATTGTAACCTTATCCTTACTGTACCAAAGGCTTCAGACAGTTTAAATAACTGTCAGAGGGGATAAACATTATGGACACAGTCACAAAGTCTGTCACTTCTGACGTTGATTAGGACCAGTTCATTGTATCTCTTAAACCTCTTTGGAGAGATTCAACATGTAGCGGTGGGGCACGATGAACTTGCATTTGAGAGGCAACAATAGGCTTTTGAATTTTGGGAAACGAGAGATGGAGCATTATAACAGAGGAGTCAAGAGTGTTGTTTTGAGGACTGGGTGAAGATGCTGATTTTGAAAGTGTGGTAATGAGTACCAAAGGAGAGGGAACCATTTACAATGCGGTTTACATTAGCACTCATTGTATCAGCAAGAATTCTCTCCATCAATAAAATTATTTGCATAAAAAATGCCAAAGAACTATGGACGTTGCAAATCTGAATTCTTGTGTCACTGGAAGTTGAGTCTGCTTTCTCTCCATTGATGCTGCCAGACCTGCTGAGTTTCTCCAGCACTTGCTGTTTTTGTTTTCAAATTATTTTCATAACCAATCGGTTACTGTAATTTTGTTTCAAATTAAAATAAAGGTTTTGACATTTCAGTGAAGGTTTAATCCCTCAACAGTCAAACGCAGGAATGATAGATAATGGCACAAGGCAACAAAGTAATGTTCCCTTACAGCTAAATCAAAGCGAGTTTAAAATAGCTACTTTCCACATAGGGATTGCCATACAAACATATCTTACTTTGCAACGTTTTATTTTCAGCAGTCTGTCTACAGTTAATCTAGGAGGAACAAATACCGGTATTGTTAGTATGTATTAGATGCTGGGCATGTGCTGTCTGCCCCCTTTTTTAAAACTGTGATTGCGCGCCTCTGTTTGCTTCATCTCTCTGCCATTCTAATGCTAATTCTGAGTTTGACAAACCTTCATTTCAAAGGCACTTCAAAGGCTCAGCAGATGTGAGCAGCGCGATGCATCGATTCTTCAAAGTGAAATCTTAAAAATTTCTGGCTCTGTATGCACTACGGAGCATTGGTGGAACCAGATATAAAGTTCCGCATCCCCGTTAATTAGCTTGTACAGTGTCTCAGCTTATGGATCTTTGACAAATTAGTGAGACAACTGAACTAAAAATAGCCCCTGGCTAACCTCACAAAATGGATACAGGGCAACCCAAGAAGAATTTAAAGCTAATAACAAGAGCTATTAATAGATGGATTAATGGCTGATAGATGGAGGTCCTCGTTTTTGAGGACAAAATAGTCAGGGTTCTTGGTGTGTACTGCTTCAGATACCTGTGCGGTCAACCGTGTATATTGAAACTGAATTAATTTCCCTTGTTGTCTGTCACCAACGAGATTACTTCAAGCTAGGAAACCGTAAAGCCGGGAGTTTTGAAGACAACATCTGACAAAACCAGTTGCTGTCGGGAGCAATGGAATCATGAGGAAACTAAATTATTCCTTTAATTGTAAACGGGAGTTGATGGTGAAGAAGTGGTCAGCACCTATTGCATATTTGGACAGCGGAAAGCTGGCTGGACGTTATTAAACACGGCTGGAGAGATGGCAAGAACTGCAAATGCTGGAGTCAGAGACAACAGTGTGGAGCTGGAGGAACACAGCAGGCCAAGTAGCATCAGAAGAGCAGGAAATTCTTCAGAAGGGTCCCGACCCGAAACGTCGACTTTCCTGCTCCTCTGATGCTGCCTGACCTGCTGTGTTCCTCCAGCTCCACACTGTGTTGTCTTAAACACGCTTTAAAAATGGACCTGGTTCTGTTCATCAATGTGACAGCGTGTTATTGGACTGTGGGGTTTAAAGTAGATCTGGGTAGGAACCGAGTACACTTCAGAGCTTTTCTGCAATCGTGCATGAATGTCAAAATCGTCTCCAGTTTCTCAGCTACAATAATGGATGTTTGTTTTGCCGACCTGCCCTGGGGGCAAATCCCGTGGGGAGGGTGTTGGCAGGAGCTGGACTATGTGTATTTGCTCAGTGCGAGATTAACATGAATCCATGGGTCCAGCCGCTTTGATGTCCCGCAGCTGCCGTCAGCTCCATTCACGGCACCTGAAATCCACATCGCTGGCTGGGATGGAGACAGCTCGCGTCATACAGACATATAAAAAGCTGGCGTTTTCCGGGCTCCTCACAAACTTCACGGAGACAGGAGAGATCGGTCCTTGTCACGGCAAACCGGAGCCCAGACCTCTGCGATCGACTGCAATCAATCCAGAGCGGAGGTCATGTCAACAACCGTGCACTGGGGAGAAATGTTTATACTCGTGCAAAAGACATAAAAAGGAAACCTCCAAATCTGGTGTTGAAAGCAAGCGTCTCGTTTCCAATTCGCCAAGATTTTTTTTCGCAGTTAAGTCAATCAGGCAGCAATGTGAGTGCGGACTGAGTCGCTTGTAAGTATTTCTGGTGTTCACTCCAGCTCCATTGCTTCGGACACTTTCATTCATCTAACATTTCAACCAGGAAAGATCAAAGGCTTTCTCCTGGCAATGTCTGTCCGGCCTATTCAGAGATAAATGCAAGCTTCAGGCAGCTGCTCGGTTTATTTACAAACATTTTTCTTGTCTTCTTTCAGGTGTAGCTTCAGAGACAGAACTCTCTTGTCTGTCGTGACCCCTCGCTTGTTTATTTGAACAACTTGAAAATGGAAATTCGAATTGGTCACCTTCTGCTATTGGCGTTGGTTCAGTGGCGGCGGTGTGGCGCTATACAGTGGCTGTGAGTACAACTTTCTGTTCCTGAAAGGTTTAATTATGTGGTCTCAGATGGAATAGATTTAAAATAAAGCGAATCCCCGGATTTATTTTTGGATTTAAACACTAGGGTTTTTTTCCAACAAAAATATATGTCTCTATAACGAGGAACTTTAAATAGAATGGAAATCGAAAATTCGTGGGTCACTTGTCCCAAAGTTATTTATTGGATTTGGGGTTTGCATGTGGAATCTTAACAAGTTGTGTAAATCTTTGCTGAATATGTATTTTTTTGAAAACGGGGCAGAAATTGTTCGTGTACACAGACATTTAACAAGTCTCTGATGTTTCGGACAGCGCCATCGCAGTGAGCGGTACCGCTTTGGGTTGGAACCAGACTCAACACTGTAAATTGCCTGGGTTAGTCCCAGACCAGCAGCAGCTCTGCCGGAGGAACCCGGAGCTCATGCACAGCATCGTGTTCGCGGCCCAGCAGACGGGCCTGGTTTGTCAGAAAGCCATGGCAGACATGAGATGGAACTGCTCCTCCATCCAGTTAGCCCCTCGCTTCAATCCAGACTTGAGCAGAGGTAAATAAAACACATTTCTGTCTCATGCAATGAGCGATTTAGCACACTGTCCAGTCGCGTTTAAAAGCCCCATAGAGTCATAGAGTTGTACAGTACGGAAACAGACCCTTCTGTCCAACTCGTCCACGCCGACCAGATATTCTAAATTAGTCTAGTCCCATTTGCCAGCATTTGGCCCATATCCCTCTAAACCCTTCCTATTCAGATGCCTTTTAAATGTTGTACCAGGCTCCGCCACTTTTCTCTGGCAGTTCATTTCAAACAAGCACCACCCTCTGCATGAAAAAAATTGCCCCTTAGGTCCCTTTTAAATCTTTCCCCTTTCACCTTAAACATAGGAGTCCCCTACCCTGCGAAAAAGACTTTGATATATAGAGTTGGGAGATCATGTTGAGGCTGTACAGGACATTGGTTAGGCCACTTTTGGAATACTGCATTCAGTTCTTGTTTCCCTGCCGTGGGAAGGATGTTGTTAAACTTGAAAGGGTTCAGAAAAGATTTACAAGATGTTGCCAGGGTTGCAGGGTTTGAGCTATAGGAAGAGGCTGAATAGGCTGGGGCTATTTTCTCTGGAGCATTGGAGGCAGAGGGGTGACCTTATAGCGATTTATAAAATCATGAGGGGCATGAATAGGGTGAATAGCCCAATCTCAGGACTTTAAAGCACATAATGTATGTTGACACCCAACTGCGGGATTAAGCCAGTGTGCTACACTGTTAGAGATATTATCCTCTCACTGGCCATAACCATAGCATGTCATTTTGGAAAATTTAAGATATGCGTTTATATAGTGCCATTTGCACCTCAATGGACTTTTCAGCTAAAGTGTAGTCTATCAAAATGTAGCAGCCAATTTCATACAGTAAACTCCCTCAGCAATGAGGGAATCTTGTTTCAGTAAAATTGGTTGAGGAACAAATATTGGCCAGATGACCTGGAGTGACCCCTCCATTGAGTTAATGGCACGGGATCCACCAGAAGAGGCAGGCAAGGTTTCAGTTTAAAATCCTATCCAACAGATGGCATGTTTGACTGTGCAGCAGTCCCTCATTGTGCACTAGCCTGCCAGCCTAGATTAATACATTTAACTCTGCAAGTAACCTGAAATTCATCAATACCTTATCATAGAATCATAGAATCCCTCCAGTGTGAAAACAGGCCATTCAGCCCAACAGGTTCACACCGCCCCTCCAAAGAGCATCCCACCCAGACCCATTCCCCTAACCCTGCATTTCCCATGTCTAACACACCTAACCTAAACACTCCTGGGCACTATGGGCAATTTAGCATGGCCAATCCACTTACCCTGCACATTTTTGGACTGTGGGAGGAAACCGGAGCACCCGGAGGAAACCCGCACAGATACAGGGAGTGTGTGCAAACTCCACACAGTGTTGGACAGGACATTGGGAAAGTTTGCTGCTCTTCAGATACTGTTATCTCAAACACTTGAAAATCATCTTGAACAGATGGAACTTGGTGTCTTAAATACCGTTTACCCCTTAAGAACAGCAGGTTCTATGGTTTGGTTGTTGACAGTCTTGTCACTGAGATTCAATGCCCTGTCGTCACCCCATGCTGAAGCACAAAAGTCAAAGGTGGTACTTAGGCAGTACTATATGGTTAGAACTGCTATCTTTTGGATGAAACATCAAACCAAGACCTTGTCTGTCCCCTCAAGTGGATTCAAAAGGCATTATTTTGGAAGAGCAGGAGATTTTTCTCTCGTGTCCTGGCCAATGTTTATCCCTCAAACAACATCACAAAACAGAATATCCTGTCATTGCAATTTGCTGTTTGTGTGAGTTCGCCGAGTGTGAAACATAGTAAACAGTGAAGAAAAAGACATGGACAGGCTGCTGAAATTAGTGCACAAGTGTGCAGGGTCATATGTTTTACAGAAGAATGAAGTGGGACTAATATATAACATGGAAATGCACTACAATGTTATCACAGAGAAGCACAAGAAGAAGTTATAAAACTAGAAGATTAAAGATAAAACAAACACAGAGAATGCTGGGGAAACTCAGCAGGTCTGGCAGCATTTGAGAGAGAAGAGTTAACATTTAGAGTCCGATATGACTCTTTTTGTTCAGAACTAGGTTCTGAAAGATTCATACCAGACTGTGTCTCTCTCCACAGATGCTGCCAGACCTGTTGACTTTCCCCAGCATTCTGTTTGTTTTATCTTTAATATTCTAGTTATTGACGCTTCAGGCACTAAGAACAGTTACCTTTATTGTCCTTTAACTAAGCCGTCAAATTTTTAAACACATCTACTAAATCTCTGTTAGCCTGCCCATGAAAGAGAATGATCCCAGGTCCTCTAATTCTGCTTATATAACCATAATGATTCATCCCTGGAACCAATCTACTGCAGGAAATCTCTCTGTGCCCTTTACAAAAGCCTTCGCTTCCTTCCAAAACAGTGGTGCCCAGAGACAATGATCTAGCAGGATTGAACATTTATGTTTAGCTTAAATTCCTGGTTTTAGTATTATAAGTCGGAGTTATTAAACCTAGGATCCCTTTTTTTACAGAACTGTTTTAACCTATCCTGACATCTTTAAAAATTGTAAATACAAGTCTCTCTGCTAGTACCCCCCCCTTTTGAAGTTGTGCTAATATTTTCAACGTTGAACTCAATTGAATTTAATTGAATTCTTTTTAAAATTGAAGTGAAATGTTTCTACCTAAACTTAGATTGCTAACAACTACCTGTGCACCTACTATCTGTGCCTTAGATAGAATCGCACTGAGATACCTCATGATATTTTTCTGAATAATGTCTTTCTTTGTACTGTGTGCCATTGAATAGATTAAAAAAAAACAGAACTGTGGTAACCTTTTACACCCTGCAAAGCTGCAATAAGACATGGCTCTTAAAATAAAGGGCACATGAGCAAAGTGATCTTAGTCATGCGTGAGTGAGATGGGAAATGTGCTCAACTGTGCCTATGCACAGGATTTTATAAAGGACAACAATCAAAGAACAGACTTTTGTTCTCGCTGTCTGGTTTTATCAAAATCACTGTGCAGCTAACCCAGAATTTGCTTGTGAGATTCAATTGATCACTCTGAAAAGAAGATGTCAAATATCTTGCGAATGTCCTGTGAAGAGTTTTGCAAGTAGGCGTTTCTTCTCTTAATTGATGAATATTTATAAAATATTATATCCCTATTTCAGGAAGCTTTCCTTACTGTCCCTGCTTTCTATTCATTTTAAAATCTTAAAATGCCTCCATACCATTGTTGCACTGTACCACTGTGCAGTCATCTTCAGCCCTACAACAATAAATATAGGCCCCAGTTCTATTTAGCATACCAGTTCTCTTTGAACCACAAGCTGCAACAGAGCTTCTCTGTCATCATAGCTCCATCATTTGGAATTCTATTCCTAAAATCCCTTAGTCTGCTTGCCTCTCTAGAGCCACCTTAAGACTTAATACATTACACAATGCTCTTAGACACATTCAGTAATCTTTTTTTTCCGACTGTCTGTTCCCTGTAACACCCTATAAAGTACATCGAGCTATTTTGTCACAGAAAAGTCACAGCATAGGTACATTTTTGTAAAATTTAATCTTACCCTGTCTTGTGTTTCCTGCACTTACTTGTTAAAAAGTTCCTAATTGATTAAAAATCAAATCTCTTTTATGTTGGGTGTTTGCATTTTACCAACATCAAAGCATTGAACTGAAAATCCATTTTGGCTGTTTTAAATCAACTGTCAAAAATCCCCAACTTTAATTTGGGGTTTGCATACAGGAATAAATTTTTTTTTAATCAAGTATTTAAACTGAGATAAGCCATTGATATCAGCAAGTGAATTCAAAAATCACAGTATGATGGTAATGAAGAATTCCTCAAATTCATCAACTAAATGTCCATTGAGGTCCTAATCAAGACAGACAATTTTCTGTGAGGTCATAGATTGAGTTATCAGACATGTGTGCCCATACTGCAGCAGAAAACAAAATCATTTCATGTATTTAACATTTAAAATAAAACTGGATGTCCAGGAGTTGATTATTGAAACTAATATAATCCCTGGGTTCTGCTGATGTTCTTAAATCTTTGCTTAGATCAATGGCACAAGCCGGTTTTGATTGCATTGATGCATTACAAACACAAGAATTTTATGCTATGGAGTTCACTCAGTGGATGCTAATGGTGTTATAAACCACAAATGAAGGTTTTCTGTTGATTTATGTTTGAATTCTTAAGTACAGTTCTTATGCTGTAATTTGTTTGCAACTCTCCCTTTATGGCTGTTGTACCCATTGTTGGATATCCTGAAGTCTTTGACTTAGGGAGTCAAAGTAGTAATTTCTGTTACATTCAGAAACATTCAGAATCATCTATGGCAATGGTTCTCATAACTGATTCATAGCAAGGCAATGTCAATGTGCTTTTGTTCATTCTGTCTTGTGCATACTTGTTATAAATATGAGTAAATCTTTCTCCATATTGCTCATTGTATTTGATAACATTGTTTCTAAGGACTAAAGCATTATATCACATAACAAGAAATTACATTACAATAAGAAGAAAAACATCCTCTGCTTATAGAATCTTGGAGATGTACAGCATGGAAACAGACCATTCAGCCCAACTTGTCCATGCTGACCAGGTTATCCTAAACTAAACTAGTCCCATTTGCCTGTGTTTGGCCCATTTCCCTCTAAACCTTTCCTATCCATGTACCTGTCCAAATGTCTTTTAAATGTTGTAATTGTACTTGTCTCTACCAACTTCCTCTGACAGCTCATTCCATATACACATCACCTTCTGTGTGAAAAATGTTGCCTCTCAGGTCCCTTTTAAATCTTTCCTTTCTCACCTTAAATCTATGCCCTCTAGTTTGGGACTCTCCTACCCTTATCTATACCCCTCATGATTTTATAAACCTCTATAAGGTCACCCTTCAGCCTCCTGCGCTCCAGGGAAAAAATGTACTAGCCTATCCAGCCACTCCTTATAAATCAAGCTCTCCAGTCTTGGTAAATGTTTTTGAATGTTGTTCTGTTTAATAATATCTTTCCTATAACAGGGTGACCAGAATTGTACGCAGTACTCCAAATGTGGCCTTAACAATGTTTTGAACAGCTGTGATATGACATCCCAGCTCGTATATTCAATATCCTGACCGATGAAGCAAAGTGTGCCAAATCCTGTGTAACTGTGACTCCTTGTATTTGGGATATGCTCTTGCAGAATGTTTGTGAAGCAATACAAATAATTGTTTGGTCAGTGCACAAACATCATTTAATTCTTTTCATTTGCCTTTGAAATATTCGCCCTGGATGTGTTAAGGTCATTCAGTGGTCACATCTCAAATTAATCAATGCTGAATGGAGGTTGGAGTGAGTTCTTTGCATTTGTGGGTGGTTCTTGTGAGGGGCAGTGTCAGGCAGGAGTATTGATGAAGAGTAGGTTCAGACTATCCAAAAGATTACTTTTTTTATTGCTGTGGATCATTGGAGACAGTGTGGAAATAAGTCTTGGCAATGATTCACCAATATCAGATACTCCTTAAAAGCTACTGCAAGTCCATTACATAAAGATCAGTGAAAATCTGGTTTCTCATTTTCCTTTTTAATCAGGTCGGTGTGTATAACTAAAAGCATTTTCATACAAGCTGTGCAGACAGATGCGCAATATAGACCAGAACCATTACTGACACAACAGACACATATCAGGGATAGTAGGAACTGCAGATGCTGGAGAATCCGAGACAACAAGGTGCAGGGCTGGATGAACACAGCAGGCCAAGCAGCATCATAGGAGCAGAGAGGCTGACGTTTCGGGCCTAGACCCTTCATCAGAAAAGGGGA